CTTCAGACAGGGACTTCACTACTGTGTACTTTGTGCTGCCCTGGAGGGACTTCTGCCTATACCAAAATATCACCCAGACAACTAAGAGTTAACAGAAGATGTACAAAAGAGAACAATTGCACATTGTCATGGGAGATGAAATTAAATATCCCAGCAGACATTCCTGTTCATATGACATTCTGGCCAACAGCCTCCTCAGATACGACAGTGATAACAATGCAGCTACTTTCATTACTAATGCTAATTCAACGGGAATTTAACGGAGTAAGTAGTTTAAATTAGCATTTTCTTTTAGGAATTCTGGGCTGGCAGTAGGAACATCTGTCTCTCTGAAGTGATAACAGAGAGCTTAAGCTTCAGGTCTGGCTGTTCTGCAACATGACGCATTGCATTACGAACCCGGAGCTAGGTAATCATTCTCCTGCCAGCATTAATGAGTTTCTAGCTACCTAAGAGTCCTCAAAACTAATGAGCACAGGTAGCACGGGTGGCAGGGCAGGAGGCTGGGCCCTAGATCTGATCTCTTGTGCTGCCACCTCCAGGCAGTGCCCAGGGCCCCACTCTGGGAACGTACTAATGCGCAGTTCTGGCACGGACCTCAACCTATTCTTACTCGTGTGACAGTGACTGCCCCCAAACCCAGCCCTGGGCTCCCAGGGTAATTGATAGTGGCACAGCCTGGCTGGATCAGCAGCTGCTGTGCTGCACCAACTCCAGTTTCTTTATTGCTTTGCCCATTTTGGGAGCACTTGTCCTTCAAAACAGGCTCCCAGAGGGCTCTCTGGCTGCCAGGGAAAGCACGCTCCACAAACAGAGCTTTCTGTGAGAGGATGGAGCTAAGGTCCCAGGAACCCTTGTGTTGGCTCTGTAGTTTACACTTCATGCTCTCGTTTTTTTTCCCCATATAGTATTTATTTTCTGAAATCCTTTAAGAACTTTGTCATTAACACTGTATTTCTGATTTTACACAGAAGCTGCTTTTTGAAGATATTTTGCAGAATAAATTCTGCACAGCTTATTCCATATATGTTTTTTACTTTTAAAAGCATCCCTCTCAGTCACACTATGTATTTTTGAGTAGGAATTACTTACTTTAGAATAGATTACAGTTTGATGTAATCATCAAACTTTTTATTCTTTTGCAACTGTGAAAGAGTTAATCTCACATCTTAATGGGAGTTTGCCCTTAATAAGAAAGCATTAAAATAAGCCAAGAATAATAATCTAAATGAAGGCCATTCTTTTACTTTCTGTCAATATTTTCATAGTGACAAATAGATCAAACACAAGATATTTTTAAGGCTTCCCCCCACCCGCCCTTGTAAATCATAAATGCTTTGGTATATTTAATTTCAAAATGAGTTCCCTGTGGATCAGACTAACACAACAGATTAAGAAAACCTTCCCAAACCCTGCTGCATCTTAGATGGAAAAGTACAAAAAAACGTTCTTTTGACGTTTCCCCTGCTCCTTTTTCAACTGCTCCTCTTTCCCTACACCAAAGAAACCAAGCTTTCAATGATAATCAAGTTTCTTAGTCCTCTTCTGAGACTTCAAAACACTGTAATACATATTTTTTTTAAAATAAATGAAGGCTTTTAGACTATATTCAGAGGAAAATATTCATGTGACTACATATTTGCTACACCACACAGATATAGCTGGTATATTTAGAGATAGAAAGATCCCCTCTGCAAGATGAAAAGTAAAGGGAATATCTGTGTTTTGATACAGTCTGCACAAGTAGACTGTTTGTGAGAGACCCAATGGACTGTTACTCTTGCATCTGTACCAGTTTTAAACCCTCCTAAGCAAGGTAAGGAGACAATTTTGCCCAGGGAGAGGTGTTTGTAAGACCTGACCAACTTTTCCATGCAAGGGCATTGGCCAGATTCTGAAAATACTCCTTTGCAATACTTGCTCATCATAAGGAATTTAATTTGCAGACGTGAAAGTCCTTTCTCCTGTCCCTCTGTCCTTAGTGGTTACACAACACCAAGGGCTCCTCAGTGAAATGTAGAGCACAGCTGTTCACAGCTGCTTTAACACATGGCCACCAGCCTTGTTACTGAACAGGTTAGGACTTGGTTCACTGCCCCACTAAATCTGTCTGACGGCCAGTCCTGTTCCTGGAAAAGGCTTCTGGAGGAACTGCAAGCTCTGGTCCAGCTGTGGGCAGGTGTGAGGGCAGCAGAGGCAGGGTTGGCAGGAGAGCCCTATGGATGTGGCTGTGCTACAGCCCCAGTGCAGAGGGGTCCTTCCTCTCTCCTCCTGCAGCTGGATCAGAGAATGGAGCCTACAGCTAGAAGCAGAAGTGACAAAACAAGCTCTCTGTTCCATACATCACCAACTCTTCCAGCTGGCCTAGGCAGCTGTGATGTCCTGCCCATCAGAATGCCATGGAGGTAGCCTGGGATCACCACTTCCATAGGTGCTGGGTGCCACGCTTGGCCCTCATCCAAACAGAAAGTGTCCCCCTCTAAACATTTTGCAAGAGTGGTAAAGGTAGGGACAAATTACTTGCAAATGCCAAGATTTACTGCAAGATTTACCAACGTCTTTGGAGACAGAGGCCAGCCTGCAGCCTGAACACAAAGGCTCAGGGAAACAAAATGCCTGGTGCAGCTCTAAAAGACTCTGAATTTCAGCTTTAGCATGGACATGGTTTTGGTTACTTACCACATATTTGAAACAATTGAAGTAGGTTTTTTCTGTGTTTACTTTGGAGCAAGCTATTTTTAAGGTCACAGTCCCTGCTAAAGGAGGAAACTGTGCCTCTGAGGTATTGGGAATTAAAGAGAGGAAAGAAAAAGGCACAGAGAAAGTAGCTGCCTTACAGAAAGAACTCAAATATTTTGTTTTCCTTCCTTGTGCAGACTGTAGTCAAAAAAGGACTTTACAGTAAACACTAACTCTTGGGTTCTTTTAAAACGAACGTTATTCAAATTCACAGGAATTCTTTTTTAACTCCTGGAATCCCTTTCTGATAAGCTGTAATACAAAGGGACATTTCCACTTGCAGATTTCCACTTGGTTTTTAGAGTCTCAGAGCACATGCTGACCACTCCCCTGTCTGTGGTGACACATGATGGCACCTAAAGCCAGTCAAGTGTTTTGTGCAGGCAGTTTTCAGACCTGGACATAAAGATGAGGAGGTGGAGGGGAGGCAGCAAATGTATGGAGAGCCTTGGAAAAGCCAAACAAGACAGAAATCAGACATTGTAGAGGGCACATATTTTGCTATGACCACAGACCTTTGTGGCAGGAAGCAGAGGGAGGAAACCAGTGCCAAAGGGATTGTGCAGGAAAGGATGGGAGCAAGCAGACAGAGAGGCTGAAAAGACAAGCAAGGAATTCCAGCCCAGGGAAGAGCAGGGCCTGCTGTTATCAGCCTGCAGCCTGCCCTGCCCCTGGTCCAGGAGGTCACACAACACTTTAGCACCGCAGAGCTACGCTCTGTATCTGACACCACGAATTAACTCTGGAGCCTTAGGTCTTAAATAATGCAGAGAAGGATCAAAGCCAGCAGCTATATGAAAAGAGGCTTCTTTCATAACTTAATTGCTCATTTGCAAAATACCAAAGTTATTTATTTAAGTAATTATGACCTTTTTGATGCACTTCTAATGTAAATGCTCATGTGTGGTTATCAGAAGAAAATCATGATAATAAAATACTAATACCTTACACCAGGAGTTGCCCAATTAACTTTGCTGGGATAGCATTTCCATAGAAAAGGATCTGCACTGTACCTCTTTGAGGCAGGGGTTACAGCTGTTTCAAATGCTGTTCCAGGCTCTGCACTTGCAGAAGACAAATGCCTTTGGAGCCATTGTGCAGATGCTTTTTTCTCATACAAGTACCATGAGAAATACATCAAGATTTTGGGAATCCTTCCTTCAGCTGCCTCTGCTGTTTTTGTCATATCCCAGATTATGGTGGATGCCTGTTCCTCCAGTTGTAGTGCCAAGAAGTATTTTTTTGAGGCGCAAAAGATTTCTTCCACGGCTCTAATTAAACAGATCAAACACGTACAGGCAGGGAACAGCATGTGCATACCAGTCCAGAGGACATATAATGTCAACTAGAACTGGAACAACATCAGGAAGGCCAGAAAGCGAAGGAGGACTCTTCCATGCCTTGACAGTGGTGTAACACTGGACATCATCCATTCCTTATGTAGATGTCAGCAGCAAGACACAATGATTAAGGGAATATCATTAGTATTTACTTATCGCTTGGGCCAAACTGGGATACAGAACAGCAGTTCTTGACTAGAAGATGATAATCTCTGGGAAGCAAAATGGGGATGGGAGGTATATACAAGAGTTCTATGAGTGAAAAAATAAGAATTTATATGAGTTACTCCTTCAAAAAGGGTGTGCTCTGTCTCACACTCAGGTATCACAGTAAGGATACAGCTTCTGTTTCAGTTGTTTCTCAAATTTGAGACATTAATAAAAATGGGACAGGAGACAATGACAATGTAAGATCATTTTCTCTTCAGAAATTGTCTTTAGATGCATCTACATGATCATATGGAGCCTCACCTGAGTAGGGTACACACCTGTATTTACTTTCCAGTAACACCAAAGGCTATGCAGCCTTTTTTTTTTTTTTATCACCTGCACAGATACTCTGCAACACACGTGTGTTAATGTAAGAAAGCAAAAATACACATCAGATCTGACTGCTACTGGTGGGAAGGGAAAATGTGAGACTTTTCAACCCCAAGTAAACATGTGAGTAAGCTTTAATAAACTCAAGCAGTATTGTTAGCTGTATTAGCAGCACTAAAAAGTCCTCTAGGTATAAAAGAACCATGTATGCAGAATGATAGCACCACTACATTTAAGAACTTATAGTATTACAGCCATATGGTTGCCACCTCAAAAACCAAGCTTTCAAGGGTTCAAGAAAGAGATTAAAACCCTGTAAATCATATTAACATAGTGAATACACAAGAGTTATATTTTGTTTTGGGACTTGTTTTATTTAAATTCTGCTGCAATCAATATGTATTTTGGAAAGCAATGCAAAATTCCTCAAGCAGATGACATTCTTCAGTGTTGTATGAACTTGAGAATATTCCTCTTGACGTGCTGAGGTAATGCAGGCTTACCAAGAAAGATGTTCTAACTGAAACAGTTGAATAAATAACTCGAAAAAGAAGGTGGAAGTTGCACAAATAGGAAGAGCACCGTATTATATTTGACCAAAACCAGTATGCCACACTGAAGCACTGTGGAGTTTTCCACAAGTTTAGGCTGTGGCAGGATGTTCTAAGCCTTCCTTGTATGGAGGTTTGGTCTTCTAGACCTCTGAAGAGAGAAACACTTTCCAAAATATGAACAGTCTACTGTGCTTTTTAGCAATGTTTCTTGAAAGTACATTTGAGGTATAAAGAGCAGAAAAAATATCTGTTATCAGGAATGATCACTTTCTCAACTACTTAATGCAGGCTACGAGACTTACCAAAATACTTCTGGTTTTGAGTCATACTACATCAAGTCTCCCTTGTTGGCTTTGACATCATATCTGGAACAGCCAATGGTTAACAGATTCTGATGCATGTTATCAGCGAAACTGAAAAAAAAGAACAGAATTTTGTTCAGAATTACTTTTATTCTCCACGCCTCAAGGAACACAAGCACTTGTCAAACTTCAATACTGATGTATCTGAAAATCCCAGTGAGCTGTTAAAGACAACATCCTGCTCATCAGAAGCCAGTACCAAATGATTCCACACACGATGGACCTAAGTGGGGGCAATTTTAAAATAAGGTCTCATTTATGAAATCTTCTAACTGGTAACACTTACTGTTTAGCTGATGTCCAAGACTAAGTCTGGAGCCTGTTTTTAGTAGCACGTGCTGTTCAAAATATGATCACTGCCTAAAAAAACTCGAAAATTTTCTATTTATGATTCTCAAGATTTTTACTGTGACCATTTAAACAACTGATGAAAGCATGCCACACTTGTATTTATGAACAACAGGCTCATGCACCTTGATACTGACTGCAATATGTTATTAAAAGCAAAAATCTTCAGCTTGTTGTAGCTGAATCTTGTCAGAATGCAATGTAGAAACCCAAAGTACCCATCTCATTTAGCTTCATGGCCTTAATTTTATACATTAATAATCTGATCACTAGTTTTTCTGAAATCCAGAGTCGATATGAGCTGATATTGGGATAATGGATCTCAGTCACTGCATGGCAGTGTCAGAGATAAAGAACGCAATATGCTGGTGGGCTTTGCAACAGTTGTGTAACTTAAACCTTGGGGCTTTCAGCACTGACTGTATCCTCAGCTGCTGTGAAGTCCAAGACTATGTGATGCAAAAAAATCCTTTTGCATTGAAGGCAAGAGACTAACTGGTGGGAGAAAATCATCTACCTGAACACTATGCTTTGTTATCTGGGAACAATCCCAAACTGCCCCTCAGGACTGTTCAAAGGTTGTACCAGAGTTTTTCAGAGCATTCAAGTTTACATAATTTAGCTATAAAATACTATTCTGGATGTAATAATGTTTGCTATATCTGGAATTACTGCAAGCATCCTGATAACAAAAGTAAAAACACACCATCTTCCTCTGCTAGAAAGTTGCTGAAAGGTAGTTTTACCTTCAAGAAACCATGACCACTCTTATTAAGCAGGACACATTATAATAATGGTCTTTTCTGTCATCAGGTCTTGCATCACAAGTATGTAAATATCTTAATTCAGAAGGAAAGCACACCCATAATGGAATCTGAATTGTGCTTTACTGCTTCTAAAACTTCACAATGTACTGATTCCAAGAAGAGATGGGCCTCCATTTTGGTAAGCAAGAACCAGCTTTTTTAACTTATTGTCAGCCTGCAGCAGCTGCTGCATTATTCACATGTTCTTTTACCTTGCCTAAGGTGAAGCTCATTATTCTTGAAGGATTAAAAGAGTTTTTATAGGGCTTGCTAGCAGCCAGGTAGGGGTCGGTCTCCTCTCTCAAGTAACAAGCAACAGGACAAGAAGAAACAGCATCAAGTTGTACCAGGGGAGGTTTAGGATGGATAACAGGAAAAATTTCTTCATGGAAAGGACTGTCAAGCATTGGAACATGCTGCTTGGAGTAGCGGTGGAGTCACCATTCCTGGAGGGATTTAAAAGGTGTGCAGATGGGGACATGTTTTAGTGGTTGCCCTGGCAGTGTTTGGTTAATGGTTGCACTTAATATGAGAGGTCTTTTCCAACTTAAAGGATTCTGTGATTCTGTAACACTATGGCAACAAAATATAACTTTTCTTAGATCCCTGAATTTCTAATGACATAAAGTGTTGTTAATAAAATAGTCTTAGGGCAAGCTAGGGCAAGTACTCACCAAAACACCAGAAAAAAAAAATGTTCTGACACAGCTAAAAATATATTAAAATAATTCAGAATTCACCTGATTCTATCCTCCAAGTCAAAGGGAGCAAACCAGGAGGAAAGGTTGTCAGGTATAATTCATGATGCAGCTTTCAGTGAGCACCTGTGACCACAGACACTGATCAGGCACAACCCTTGTTACTCCTCAAAGCACTGCACAGAGAATGCACATGAATGGAAGAATCATACCCACGATGTGGGTGCCTAAGCAGGCTTGCCCCATGCACAGGGAGATGAGGAGAACCCTTGCCTGGGCTGGGACAGTTGTGATAGCACTCACAGTCTGGTTGTGAAGAGCAAAACTCTCCACAGGGTGCTTTACTGTGATTTCATCTTTAAGGGAGGAGTAGTATTTAATCTTGCTAATGACATTTCCTAGGAACTGCCTCAGAAACATTATTTCTTGTGAGAGACTGAAATGTTAGGGGTTAATAACTCAAATGATGGGCCATTTGCCAAAGCAGCAAGAGCTTTGCTGAGCGCCCCAGCCAGGGCAGAGGAGAGCTTTGGGGTGTGTGCTGGGGAAACCTCTGGTGTGCAGGAGCCCTTCCCAGGGGCAGAGGAGTGAGCACCCATCACCTGTGTTTAGCAACAAGCTGATTTTGAGCCAGATGAGGGAAGAGGTCGATAAGAAGCAGATCCTGTGAGGTGGAATAGTGGTTCTGATCATGGCAATGTCCTCCCTTACACAAGCCAGGTGTAAAACTCCACCTGACCCTGAGGAAGCCAATCACACAGAGGCCTCAGAGTTTTCATCCCTTCTGATGGGGCTGTAAGCCAGCTCAACTGCACTGACCTGAGTGAGAGGCGAGGTCTTAGAGGGTGTCAGAAACCATCAAAGATCCCTTAAATGCCCTCAGACTTATTTCAGGGTCTTCTACCAGAGAACTGTTTGTGACCCACAGTGTTGTATCAGACACTGACACCTCCCATGTCCCCAGGGGAGGCACCTGGGCATTCCCACGTCACCACTGAACCCACTGCACTTTGTGTTTCATGGACCAAGACTGAAACCATCACCTCAATCAACAGACACTGAAATTGCAACAATCAACCCTTGTCACTGGATCCATGGGTGGTGATGTCTTCCTCTCTACCTACTCTTATCTTTCTTCTTTCTTTCTTTTCCTTGTATGTTTTCTTAAGTGATATCTTTATATTTTTGTATCGCTGTTTTTCTGTGGATACTAACCAAAACAGCTACATACCTCCTTGCCATTGTAACCAAATGGTCCTAAAATAAAGCTGCTGTCTATCTCTCTAAAAACACGTTTCACTCTAATCCACCCCAAGGGATCTATTAACAAGAACCTCAGCTACTCGGCCTTCAGTGGTGGGTCATAACATTTCCCACACCAAAATTATTTTTATTGTCATTAGTACAAATTAGGCTCCCAAGTCTTCTCACACACACAAAGTCAGATTGGACTGATCTAAATCTATTTTCTTTCCTTCACAGATTTTTGTTCTACAGTGGATATATTCGTATTTGTGTAAATCCACATTCTAAACCTTACTCTATTATTTTAAATAATAACAAGTAGTTTTAAAGATAAGGTAAAATAAAATATAATAAATTATAACAACTTCTTAATTTATAAATAATAAATTAAAAAGAAAACCAATATTCAGCTTCCACTGTCAAACCTATCACTTCAAACTGCTCTGCTTCCATAAGAAAATTAAAGTTTTATGCACCCAGTACTGGGAATCCAATAGGAGCCTGATCCTTTGCACATGAAATGCCTTCCTTTGCCTCAAATCTCAAAGCCAGCTCTGTTCTGGTTCTCTTCTTCCAATTCCATCTGAGCACTAAGGATTCCTTTCCACTTTCCTTGGTCCATTATAACTGATATACATTTTATTATGCACACACGTATCCATAAAATAAATAACCTGTTCTTCGCTTTTATCCCCTGAAATATGAATTAAGGAATTGTCTTTGGTGACAGTCTGCTCTTTTGTCTGTGCATTACCAGCAAAAGAATAACAATGCTCAATGGATTTCAATCAAGAATTAACAAGAGGAATGAAAAATATTTTATGCAGTTCCTTTTCTTCATATGCAGAACTAAACCAAGCATGTCTTCTCATATTCATGCAGGCAGACACAGTTTTCATACAATTACAAATAATCACTGAGAGTGTCAGCACAGTAAAAAAGTTAGTGGGGAACAAACACATAAAAAACCCTTCCTGGTTTTGTTTATTTATCACTAGTTCCTATTTATCACTTTTTCCTATTGCAAGTTAACCAGTTTGACATTGCTGAAAGAACCTTTGTCCAACAACAGCAGAACAAAAGAAAAAGCCTTGGAATAATTAAAGTTTTTTAATAATTTATTATTTTTCAATAAACTAAAAGCAAACCAAAGTAGAGCTCAATATTCACATGACATTTGAAATTTTACTTCCCAGATTTTACTGAGGGAAGAAAGGGTAAGCTAAGCACCCCCCTTTGGCTCTCTCATTTTGGTAATTCCTCACTAGTGTATGTACCTACAAAAGACTTCATCTGAATTCCAGTTTAATCTCTCCCTTGACTATCCTAGAGACATTCTGTTTAAACATCTTCTCATTTTCTACAAGTCATGTTATGTGTTTCTTCCCTGAAGTGCAGTGTGTTGTCCTGAGAGGGTAATACAGGTAACATTTAATACCTAATTGTAAAATAATAGTAGCATTTATCAACCCTGAGTTCCACTGGTACTACTAATTCTCAACATATACCCACATAACTGAAGCCACAAGCTCTGGTACTCCAAAATCCATTTTTAGGTCCAGCAGCAGGGAAGGATGGAAAGAGAAGTCTATTTGCATGGAGACCAGTGACAAAACCAAATCTCTGTCCTGGTTCTGACAGTTGCCCTTAGGATTTTCTCTCACTCTCCCTAAAATACAGTGTTTGTGCAATCACAAGGATGCAAGAAAAACAAAGGATCCATGAAACACATCTGAATTTCCCTTTTAATGGCAGCTCATTTACCATTTGTAGTTTTGCAGTGAGCATTCATTATTTCAACAACAAAACAGTGGGTGATCCACAAAGCCTATGGGGAAGCCTTTAATTTCAGTTTCCTTTGTGTAATTGTTGATAAAAATATCCTCAGAGTAGACACTAGACACAAACAGCTCTGCATCTGGCTACAAGGATGTAGGTGGAATATGTAAACTAA